TTTATACAATTACCAGTTGCTGATGTGTTGATATGAAAGAATATAAGGTTAAAATAAAACTTGAGAGTAAAATTTGATGAACAAGTTTTGAATTCAAAATTAAATTTAAAAGTCCGTATTGGCGATGTGATATTGTTAGAATTTACATTGCGCATAATGTGAAGCAATTGTAAGAGAATGAATGTTTCCTTATGTTGTGCAATCTCTTTTATATTAATTAATTCAATTAGAAATTACAATAGGATTATGACAATGTGCTTCTTTGTTTACACGCGAACGAATGAATCTCCCATACATTAAATAGATCAAAGTCCATTCGACACGAAGGTCTTTATTGCTTTGAACAATTTCAGAAGATTTATTGGCCTTACATAAGTGAAAAATTCCGCACTTTTCCCTATTTTTATAGCCGGTATTTCTAACGTTAAATTCCGCATTTCTTTTCTATGTAAACAGCAATTATTAGCATCAATTACGATTCTGTGAACGAGGCCACCCAGCGTACTGAATTTTGCGCTTATAAAAGATTCAAAGTATGTAAGTATAACACGAAACACTTTGCTAGTCGACTTCTAGTTAACTTCTCATCGATCGTTCGTTCGATCATAAACTATCACCAACCGCGAAGTTCACGATCGATCCATCTTTGCACCTCGTGTACTTAAAAACAACGTCCGGAATTGCTTTCGGAAAATTTGATATAAATTTCCAATGTTAAAATGATAACAAACTCGTTCTAAATGTCGTCACATACACGATGAGCCAACCGAATAATTCCGCCCATCCACGGAAAAAACTTGCAAAGTGCTCTTCCATTTCCACTTCGAATCACAAGTATTTTTAACATTGTACACTTGGAAGTATAATTCATAGAAATAAACTGTACAATCTTCTCTACTGAAAAAAAAAAAAGAAAAATTCGAATGCCATATAAACGTGATTTCAACGTGCAAACGAAAACTTCTAGGTTAAACTTGTACGTTTCTTCTAATTATTCGCAGATTAAAACGAATTTCTTCGACAGCAACTTACATTTTGGACGACGATGAGTATATAGATAAGGTGAAGAGTGCTTCGTTGGAAAATGCGAGTATCCTGACGCCTAGGGATCGTCAGAGAGACATTAATTATTTCGACAGAATTGATAAGACTGTAATTGCGTAACACCGATATCCTTCTTTATTCAATAGCATCGTCGTATTTTAATTTTCTCGACCTATTTCACACGCGATCTTAGACCTCTAGCACGACATTCAGCGGTAGAAAATTTTGGAATTGTCACGCAAGGCCAACGAATGTCTACGTACCGGAAAACTCTGTGATTCAAGAAGGTAATTTGTTGCAAACGGAGGTAATTAATAGGAAGATAACACATGGGAAGATAACACAATCACTTATTCCGCAGTGTAGAGTTGATATATAATTGGTTGCGTGTACTCGTATTCTCTGTTCTTGTTTTATTCACCTAATCACATACTCTGTGTTGGATTAATTAAGAAGCTAATTAAACCGATTATGGTAATCGACAACCACAATCGGAAATTTTATCTTGATCCGCAGACATTCGTTATGTACGCGACATTGCTGACTTGTCAAAGCTGGCAACTTCGAGGTCGAACGTTTCTAACTTTTGGCTAAAGAAACTGATTGTTACAGAGAGCGAGTTTATTGGTACATTGACGAAGCAGTTGTACAAAGTTGAGAGCCAGGTACAAAAGGTGCAATCTAACTTGAGGAAAAGCGAAGAGCAAATAAAGTTGAAGGATAAGGAGATTTCCCGATTGAAACAGAAGGTTCTTCTCGCTGTTTCCTTCATTCGTCGTAGCTCCTTTCACTTTCATGACGGCATTCGATTTGCTACAGGTCAAGGAATGGGAGACCAAGAGCAAGAACCAAGAGATTCTGCGAAAAAAGGAGCAGCAACAGCGACGAGTTCAAGTCGATCATTCCGAATATCTCTACAGGAGATGTCTGATGCTCGAACAGAGAATTTACGAGATGGAGGTTAATTATACGCGCGCATGGAACATTTTGTTATCAGAAATTGTGTTGCCTTTGTCAAAATCATCGTGTTGTCATTTTTTCTGCAGAAATTCTTGGCCGATTATGGTCTGATCTGGGTCGGCAACACAAACTGCTCGAAGTATCCTGAAACGATAGCCAAGTAAATCGAGTATACGTTACTATTTCAAGCGATCGGCACCCGATCGAATTAATGATCAGTTAGCCGTGCCTTTTAGCAACACCATCGAGACTTGTTACGAGCAGATTATCGCGAACATCGATCAGCTGAATCTGGCCGCTGGAAAGGGCGAAGTTCACGTGCAGCACAACGAAAGAGGAAACAGAGCTTCGTTCAAAGTAAATCTCTATTTACGTACATTATTTTCCCTCAAAATTATTTATTTTATATAAAATTATTTACAACTATTCACGAACGTGAAAGTTCCTTGAATTCTTTTTTTTTTGTTCAATACGTTGTTGAAATTTTCGTAATTTATTAAAGATGAGATATTCTAGATATTCTAGATATTCTAGATATTTACATAACTTTTAAGAACTGTGAAACAAATTCAATGAAATGTTTGATGATTACGCGTTCTGACGAAATATTGTTACGTGATCGTTTTTTTTTCCCATCATTTTATAAAGCGCTAATAGATACGTTACATTGATTTTTCCAACCGATTTTCGTCAATTTTTTGCTTTGAATGTATTATAATGTAACACAGGAAGCTTATGTTAATTAATCGAATCGATTATCTATGTGACCGACAATGACGAATACGAGTGCAAAATTGATAAATAATTACACCACGATTCTAGCTTGCAGCTGACGATGAGTCACCGCAATTTCTCAATTTTCTGAGAATGATTTAACTTAATTGCGCAATAATGCATATTATTTAACATTAAATCATTTTGTCAAAGCGCGATTAACAAACTTTAATAACATAGTACGTTGTCTAATAATTGTTCGAAGACCGCCTCTTGCATGTCATTGAAATTCTACAAAAATGGAATGATAGTTCAAGACGGCCCATTACGATCTTACAACGACCCAACTACGTTATCGTTTCTACGTGATATCTTGGACGGCTATTTCCCTTCTGAATTGCAGGAAGCTTATCCAGAGGGTGTACCCTTCAAGGTGAAATTTCAATTTTAATTTTTGTCAAGAGAAGGAAACGGGAAGGAATTTACATTGAGAAGTGTTCTGTTAGGTTGAGGATCATAGAAATCAAGTGTTCTTGAATTCCGATTTTCCTGGCCAAGGTTATCGACTGGGAAAAGAAATGGCTGATAATACACCGATATCATCTAGACTTATTCGTAGACCTAGTAACCAGAGATCGAATCGTCGCAGTGCTCTTCCGAGAGAGAAAGACAGTCTATATAATTTTGACCCCTCTAAGGAACTCTTTTCTACCACAGCTAGGTACGGACATTAGATCAAATCCAGAATTTTTTAACAATTGAGCATGAAACTTTTCGACAGATCGATGAAACCAAAAACTCCTTCGGAAGCTCCTCCTGTAGAGATGTATGTCCTCCGTTCTCAAATCTTGGCATCACACAACAACATTTGCTCCGATACTCATTTACAATCGCACATTAATGCGGAACTCGGCTTGAGCGAAAAAAGAACAACTCGAAGAGAGAAAGTAATTTTTTCATAAGAAGTCTGATATCATATAAAAAAATCAATGAATTGTCTATACACGTAATGTTTACTTGAAATTTTCTTTCGTGAAACGTCCAAGAACAGAGAATATGAAAACTCGGGACGGGAATCAGGTTCAAAATCTAGAGGTGTTATGAGGTTTCCAAGCTCTGGTAGATGTTATCATAGTTCCACAGATAGAGCATCTAAATTATCGCCCAAGTAAAAATTTATCGATTGGAGTACATTTGCTTGACAACTTAACAACGTTATCCTCGATTTAGCCGAGTGGATAACGCGGATGAATGTCTCAGGCAACGATCAAGATCTGCCAGCTTACCAAATTCTCGATTTTCCATTACTTCAAGATCAACACCAAAAATGAACGTCGATCTTTCACAAGTTTCTTCACCGCATCGTCCCCAAATGCATCATCAAGCTGCAGTAAAAAAGAATCAACGCGCTCCAAGATCTGCTGCACCAAGTAGGAAGAATGCAGTAAGGATATGATTCTTTTCGTAACCGAATAATTTGAATGATAAATCTTTTATATATTCTTTCGACTGTTCCAGCCGCCTATTTTACATCAGATCAACGAACCGTCTGGAAAACCAGGTGAACTTCGATTGAAAGTTAGATCTTTAAACGGCGGTACGGTTTATCTGGTACACGTATCTGCCGACGAACCGATAGCTCGACTTTATCAGTTATTAGATAGAACAATGTCAAGAACTGTTCCTCGAGGATACAAAATTGTTCTTAGCGGGTAAAAATTTGTTCACTATCTTTGTCACAAAATTTTATATTCTCTTATTAAAAATATATATATTTATTTATATTTTTATATTCTCAGTTATTCACCAAGAAGATTGGAGCATTTAGGAACAACTTTAAGAGAAATTGGCGTCACTAGAGACAGCGTTTTGCATCTAGTGAATGATTGAATTTCAAATTTTTTTAACTTTTTGTATTGGCATTATTTAAAAGAAAAAAGGATTGTACAAATATTAAGTTTGTAGAAAATATATCATAAAATAGAAAAATCGATTTTTATCGTTGATTAAGGATTATTATAGACATCTTTAGTCAATATTACGGAATAAATATAACATTATGTGGGACTTCATGTTTCATGTTCTGAAGTACCGACCACGAAAAAATCAGAGCGTTGCGCCCTCTGTGATATGCTGTGATGAACATAACAATTATCGTCTAACTCAATCGTCAATCGTCACAATGATAAAGTAGTTCTTATTACGAATTAGTTAATTAGAATGATGATTTTTTTCTTGAAACGTAACTAAATCATAAAATCAAAACACGCATATTTATTGAGTCAAAATTAAAAAGAAAAAATAAAATTATAGTATACTTTATTATAACTGTTAATTATAATGTTAAAAAGCATTGTCTTTAATTACGCCCTATATTTATCAATCTATCAGTAAGTGGAATTAGTGTGCATAGATATTCATGTTATAATGGTATAATACATGATAGATTCTCTGTTCAAAATATTTTCGTAGGACACTTGGTTTTTCCATGTACTAGTCGTAGAACCGCCACTCCACCAAATTAGTTTTCATGACGTAACCTGATGCATGAGGCTTAGTGAATTTACTAATACTAATCATCTTGTGATTAAATAAAACTAAACGCAAATAACTTAAAACCAAGACGCACGCATACCACGATCTCTCGTCGTCCCACGGTGCCCCGCTGGGGGGTCCAATATTTTATTTATCAACTAATTGTCCCTACAGTTCAATTTAGATCTAAACTGAACT